GTTGGATCAAGAAGGTGGGCTAAGCTTTCTAAAATGAGAGAGATGCATTATGGGAACCTCCCTCGCACTCTGTTGTCCACAACGTGCCACAGGCAATACCGCCCTCCACTGGTCTGCCTCTCTTGCTCGTCCTCGTACTGTCCGAACCCTTCTTAGCTTGGGTGCATCGCCTTTTGCGGTGAACTTCGCTTCTCAAACCCCCCTTATGCGTTCTGTCCAATGCGCTCATGCATTTGAGCGGCAGTGCTTTCCCTCTGTTCTCCGTCGACTCTCATCAGCCATACGCGCGGCGGATGCTGAGGGACGCACCGTGCTTCACCACTTGGCAGCTGCAGGGGCAGTGCAGGGCGAACGAGGTAGGACAATGGTGGCGGCAGCCAGATATTACGCTCGATGTGTGAAGCGATGGTGGTCTGCTCACGGAGTTGGTGGGCAAGTGGATGCAGTCGCAGCGACGAGAGAGTTTGTGGACTTTCGAGATAGGCAAGGTGATACGGCCTTGCTTGTGGCAGTACGAGGGGGTAACAAGGGTGTGGTTGAGGTGCTGGTGGCGATGGGGGCTGATCCCGCGGCGGAAAATAGGACTGGAGTTCGGGCAATGGATTACGCGGCCATGGATCCAGGAATGGGGAAAGCTTTGAGGAAAGATAAAATGGTGAGTTTTGGCGCAAGACAGTGTAGTGACCGCTATCTGGTATCCACGGACACCACCTATCAACTAGGCCGCTAACGCGGCTGACTCCGACTCTGAGGGCGAAATCAGTGCTCTCGCTCTCCACGACCACATTGCTGCTGCTCTCTCGCTCCACTCGAATTTCGACGACGAAACAGAGGATGGGTCGGTGGAAGGAGTGGAGGGTCAGCACGGGAAGATTATGGGAGGTGAGATCTTGTTCTTGTTTGAGGATGTGATGCTCGAGCGACCGATCCAATTTCCTCATGCACCTGGGCGATTATATCTCGCCAATTCTCCTTACATTGCGGCATAGCTGTCCGCCGTCTTTTTAGGGCATCGTATCGAACGTTTGCTGCGGAGAGCCGTGAGCGTGATTCCCGTTTACGGTACCTTGAGCAAGCACGTGATCGAGCGCTGGAACAACTCGCTGAGGCCCAGCAGCAGTTGAGTGCTGTGAGTCCCCTTATCACTGACAAGAACGAGGGAGGGGCAGCGGTCGGACTTGTTGGACTTTCCTCTTCGATTCACGAGGTCAGATATGGTGACAGCGATGACGTTGATGGGGTTACAGATGCCACAGTGCACCCCGAACAAGAGTGGACGGACCCAAAGGTGGACTTGACGTCGTTGCGGCGAACCTTGGTGGAGATTCGGTCGACACTTTCAGCAGGGGAATTTACCCCGAAAGATCTTCCTGCTTTGCCGGTAAGCGTTTGTAGTACAAGTGAAGTGGTTGGTGAGCTGTAAAGGGAACGTCACTCTGCCCATTTGCTCTTCATTGTGTGTATGTATATAATTTAGTTGTGCAATGTGATGGGTATTGTGGTGCTCATCGTGATGGCCTCCTGTATATTTGTGCTGAGGCTGATCATCATTCATGCAACACATGCACAGCACCTGACACAGGCGACATTTCTTTCTTCTTTCCGCTTCCAATTCCACGAGACATCTCATAACGAATTAAATTTCATTTATTCATTCTGTTCATACTGGACTCAGTCCTCACTCATCCCATCGCCCTCCCTCTGTTGCATTCCTGTCAAAATGAGGCCCTTGAATCTCGCGCGCTTCGGTCATTTCAGCAGCACTCAGTCGGTCGCTTCTTCTGAAAGAAGTCACGGCGGCCGTGATGAACGTGGGGAAGAAGATGATGGCATGTCATCGAGAGGTGTTTCAATGGATTCGACAAGGGATTCGCCTCGGGCAAAACCTGCGCGGACTAGTCACGGTGTTCTTGGACTTCTTCTTCGTTCTATCCAGCACACACAGTCTTCGAGTACTGCTGGTGAGAGAGAGAAAAGGGGAGGAACACCAACTCCTATCAACTTCCTTTCCACTTTGATGCCCACCCACGACCGACATCCGACAACTTTACTCAATGATAACACTGGCAAGCACAGAGGGCCTGCTGTTCATTTTCCTGACTCCTCAAGAACCCCTCCCTTGGTAGTCGTGCAGCAACCAGACTTGGAGTCTCAACGAAATGAAACATACACTTTCAACAACAATTCTGGCGCACCACAACCTGCCCCAGCACGACTGCCATCCCCCAAGGAAACCAGGAGCGCAGAATGGCGGGAAACGAACCCGGAATCGCAGCCCCCACCAACCCGACCTCTCTCCGCCGTTGCGGTTCAGTCCGGCTACGACAATCAAAGCAGTTTCCTTCACGCTCCCACACCCATACACCCATTGGGAAGCTCCCTTTCGCAACCTCCTCTCGCTCACGCCCACAACCCGCCCCGGAACCCCTCGCCCGCCCTCTCCGAACGCTCCCCACCTTTGATCCCTCACTTGTACCCCATTCAGATTCCGTCTGGCAGCCCTTGGCTTACCTCTGCCGCCATTGCGAGCTTGAGCGGCTCTGCGGGGCCCTTGTACTCCCGCAGCCCGGACCTCGTGTCGTCCACCGCACTTTCTCTGGTCCCCCTCACAGTCATACCTCCGCCTCGCATCTCAAACTCCTCTCCGGCCCCGTCAACTGATACCGAGCCTCACTCGCCCCAGCATACTGACAGCTATGCTCACTCCTCCCTGACCGACCCACTTCTCTCCTCAAAGGCGGCCTCCCGATTTCCTGCACAAAGGAGTGGAGGTGCTTCATCTCCTTGGAATCTCAATTCCCGTAGCTGGACTCCTGATCAGCCCAGTGACCACTCGACTCCTCTCCCCACCACATCCACTCTGCGCCCCTCCGCGGCGACATTGAGAGCTCCCGACACGGACACGGACACGGACACTGACGATGAGACACCCAGAGAGAAGCACCAGCGATATGCATCGGGAGATATCGGGATGAGCTCGTCGGAAGAGAACTTTGTCCGTCTCCGGATCGCGGAAACAATTAATCAGCTTTTGGCCAAGCAATCGTTCGTTCTAAGGCTGGGGAAGGCTCTCTTCAAGTACGGATGCCCAACGTACAGACTGGAACATTACATGAAGAAGTGCTGCGTGGAACTGGGACTGGAGGCACAGGTGAAGTGTGACGAGTGCAAGGGAGTCAAAGCGGCGAAACCAACTGATGTCCATCGTCGCATGTTAGTTCGCCTACCTGCCTTCCATGATTCTCGTAACCTTCGGCGACCCCGAAACACACACGTCGGAAACACATTTTCTTCGGTGCAGTGCCGGATATGGTGAGGAGCATCCCCCGCAATCGCCACGTGAAAAACATCCCTTATTCAACGGGGGTCCTCCCCCCCCCCCGACCCATTCCCCCCAATATCGCAGACATGTGGCGCCTTTTCCGTGTCAACCATCTTGCCACAACGATCCCCACCTATTCGAACGACGTCCCGCACTTGCTCAACGAACTTTCCCGTATAATCAAAGCTCCACCACTGTGGCCCCGTTGGTGCCAACTTGCGGCCAATGTCATCGTGTGTGCTCTTGCGGCCGTCATGTTCTACGGCGGGTCGTGGATGGACATGTGGATCTGTGCGGTCTTTGGGGGTTTAGTCGGATTGATGAGCATGGCGGCCGACAGGTGGGCCCGTTACGGAAACTTGCTCGAGTTTTCGGCAGCCCTGGTTATTGGCTTTGTCGCAAAGGTGACCGAGAAATTTGTTCCGGGAGTGTGTTTCTTCTCCATGTCTATGGCTGGAAGTGTATGGCTCCTGCCGGGATTGATGATAACGGTGAGTCGGTGAGTCGGTGACACTGTGCGAATGTGAATTATGGATCCTCATTGCCTTTTTGGGGAATGGAGGTGGGTGTGATGGAGGTCGCTTCCCGCAATCTCATTATCGGCACTGTTCGGCTCTTCCACGCGCTGCTCATTTCTGTGATGATTGGCTACGGACTCTCAATCGGATCGAAAATCGCGTTGTGGGCCGTAGGGACTGTTGACTCCCAACAATGTCAACCGGTGGATTCTCGCTTCCAGATATTATTTTTCCTCCCCATGTGCTTTGCGTTCTATATTCTTCTGGAAGCGCACCCGCGACAGTTCCCAGTCATGTGTGTCGTGACCGCAATCGGATACTTGACCAGCACTTTCCTTCCGGCGGACAAGTTCGACACTAGTACCAACAACGCAATCACTGCATTGGCTATTGGAATATGTGGGAATGCCTACGGTAGATTGACAGGGGACGCTGCTGTGAGTGAGGGGGACGGGGCTTCGTTGAGAATTGGAGACTTTGGGTTTCACCTGACAACTTTTCACACCCATTTCTCCACAGCTTGCACCACTTCTTGCAGGCATCCTGTTCCTCGTTCCTGGCGGAATCTCCGTTCGTGCAAACATGGCATTGATGAACGATGATGTGGCAAACGGGGCAAGGCTTGCGAGTCTGGTCTTGGACGTCTCCATTGGAATCTTGGTCGGCTTGTTCTCAGCTCACTTGCTGGTTTACCCCATCGGCAGGAGAAAAAAGATGTTTCGAGTCCCTGGATACTGAAGACTTTTTCTCCTTCTTTGTTTCTTTTGTTGCATGTACATAGGTACGACGAGCAAATCAGATATATGTAATTTGAGTTCAGTTCACTGAAGTAACATGGGATAACATCCAAGTACAGCTTCAATTTGCAAGAAATGTCAGGATCTGGTGTCGACCTTGCTCTTAGAATTGCAGTTATTCGATTTCACGGTTGCATAATCATAACTGATATATACCCTGTTAAACTTACTCCTGATTCTCATTGGTATTCTGGCTTTTTCGATGCTGATGGTACTATCGAGATTTTTGATAAAATCTCGAATAAACCCCAATCACCCCTTAGTTCAAGTTCGTAGTGCCACTCATGCAAAACTCAATTTTGCTTCAAGAGGTTCGGGTTTACTGTAAGTGCTATAAGTCCGAAAAAAAGTGACAGCAGATTTTGGAGCAGAAGGGATTCGAACCCTTGACTTCTCGCATGCGAAGCGAGCACTCTACCATCTGAGTTACAACCCCTTGTTGTTCGTATCAAGACCACTATACATATATAATCCTGTGTAAAAAAGGTCCGCGGTGTGTCGGGATTTCACTGTCGACGCCCACCCTCTCAAAAGAAACACCAAACATGAGAGGCGCCGTATGAGCCGTCAAAGCTCGGGGTTTGGTGGTTCTCAAGAGGGGAGCGTAGTATGGAGCCTTCACCAGCCGCCGAGAAACCATAGATGCGTATGCTGTCCATAACTCAATTATTTTCATGAGCTTTGAGTTCATGTTTCGTCCACACACATCGCAACAGCACCCGCACCACCCGCACCACTCCGAATTCTCCCAGAGCTTACTCTACAACTTTCAGACTTGTTCATAGAAAGACAAAAAAATGGGAGAAGGTTAATGGCAATATCATGAAGAAGAAAAACACCGCAAAACACTCGTGAGAACTTTTGACAAGGAACATGTGTCATTGTTATAGTAACATAAAAAGACTCCACGGGAACACGTTTGCAAAAAAGCGGGAGAACGGGTACAGCAGGTATAAGCGGAACGAGATCTGCTTACCTCACACAGAAACACAAGTGTTGAATCTCTAGGTGGACTAAAGCGCACAAGGGGGCGGTGTCTAGGGATTAAAGGAGTTTAAGTTGTCGAGAGGGAGCCCGTCATTACCGGCAGTCCGAGAGGGATGGGTCGGTTCACTTGAGGAGCGAACCTGAGGCGGGAAAAACTGGTTGAGGCGGCAGGGAGCAACACAGTGACGATTACATAGTCAAACCAAAGGTGGAGCGAGGGGAACCAACAAAATACTGGTGTGAAGAGCGGGAGCGAGTGAGAAAGAGCCAGGCGAGAGTGCATCTGAGGAAACAGCGGTCGATTGAGATTGGGAGGGACACGAGATAGCGGAGAGACAAGCGCGAGAGAAGGAGAGTAGCAACGGCAGCGAAGGACCGAGTTGAGAGCGGACATCTGAGATTCTGTTGGGGCAACAGATAGGATAAATAGGATGGGATCGGTTGCAGTTTCTGGTGTTGTGCCTGGATCGGTGTCGGTGACTGGAGCTGCATCAACGAGCACGATACACCACCACACTGCACAGAGTGCACAGACAGCACTCAACACACCGCAGTCGCCGACTCAGCCCACACACTACCCGTCACAGACCACAGTCGCTCAGCCCGTCACCCCCACCCAACCCGCACCGCGGTCACCCCCGCTCAACCCGCCGCACTCGCCGCTCTCCCTCGCCCGCAACCCCTCGCTCCTCTCCCTCTCAAGATCAACATCCGCGCTCCTCCCATCTCGCCCTCTCCTCAACTCCTCATTCGACTCTCCCCTCCTCTTGATCGCTCAGGGCGACTCAAACTCCATAAACTCATTCTTCTCCAAAAGGAACAGGAAACCAGATGGATCCCTGTCATCAGATGACGATGACGATGACTCGGACGACTCGGACTCGGACTCCAGACTCCACAGGGACAAGAGACAACGCACGGACACCACCAACACGGTTGTCCAACACAACTCCTCTCTCCCCTTCATCCCCTCTCACTCCCGCTCCCATTCAGCAGCATCCTCTACCTCCTCCTCCTCGTCCTCTTCCGACGACTCTTCCCCTGACATGGACCTCTCGGACGCCCTCGCCATCGCCGCCTCAAACCCTCCCCTGCCCGCCCCCGCTCCTTCCTCATCCCTCCCACTCCCCTTTTCATCCTCCGCATCCTCATCCTCATCGTCCTCCTTATTTTCCTCCGCCTCGCCATTCTCCGCAACCGCCACCACATCCACAACCACCACCGCAGCGCCCACCTCATCCCTCCCCTTCCTCACTACTCCTTCAACCACCAGCCCACTCAACCTGTGGCCTTTGCCCGAAAACGCACTCTCCCTCTCCCTCAACTTGCCGACCATCCCTGATCCCCTTGATTTCTTGCCGCCGCACACCTCGTCATCATTGTTCCCCAAATCAACCCTTCCCCTCCACCACCTCTCCACCACCCACCCGCACCCGCAGCCCCTTTCCCCCCACCTCGCCACCTCCGTCAAACTCGAACCCTCTACATCCCAGGTCCCTTCACTCTCCCCCACCACAGCCACAACCACCCCCGCCACGTCAACCACCTCTGCGTCCTCACAATGGTCTATCGCAGTCAAGGGTGCTCTGGCCATTCAGAACGCCATCGCACAGGCTCAAGGCCATGCGCAGGCTCAGGCTCAGGCGCGCGCACATGGGCAGTTGCAGTGGCAGGGTCTGAGTACGGGACACCAACGACCGCCCGCCACTTCCACCTCGCCTCGCACCTCGTACCCCGCCCCAACCCTCCCCCTTCCCCAATCCCTCTCCGACGTTCCCGCCGCTACCCCTCTCCTCGCACCTCCCCCGGCACACCGCAGGACCCACTCGCGGTCGGGCTCCGGGTCGGGGCCTGGTGCGGGTCTGGGTACGAACGGGGTGTCGTTCCCACACTCCCACTCACACACTCGAGCGAGGTCGGCCTCGCTCGACCCGGCGAGCATGGCCATTGGCGGAGGTGCGGGTGGAGGTGGAGGTGGCGGTGCCGGCGCAGGTGCAGCACCATACCAACACACCCACTCCACCTCCACCAGCTCCTCCACTGCCCCCACCACCACCCCCTCTCGCGTCCAGTCTGCCTGGCCCGCCGCGCCGCAACCGCACCAGCTGGGTGGGGGTGTGGGTTGGGACGTGGGCATGGGCGGAGGCTTCAACATGGCCATGAACTCGAACATGGACATGGGCATGGGCATGGTGGCTGGAATGGACTTGAGTGTAGGCTTGGGGCTCGTTCCGGGTCCGGATCCCGCCGCCGGCCTGGGCGTGGGCGTGCCACCTGGCTCGGTCAGTCCCTCCCCCTCAGCGCTCGGGCTTGTGGGAGACGTGTTTAGCAGGGGAATGGGCATGGGCATGGGCGCGGATATGGGATTGGGCACGGCGACGCTGCCCCACTATGGCCACCACGAGCACCAGAACATCGGCATCCCACACACCCAGCCCCCGCTCCAGCACCAGTCCCTCGCCGTACCCCTCCTCGCCCACCCTCCCCATACCTCGACCCGGTCCCGATCCCCGTCCAGATCCCGATCCGCCTCCCGCTCTCGCCCGCCTTCACCGTTGCTCGGCAGGAACGCCGGTCAGCCGGGCCACTCGTCGTCCCACGACCACATGCACCACCGCGTCGCCCCACAGGGGCACCACCGCAATTACGGCGCAGCGGTGCTCGAGTGTGGTGGCCCAGGGTCCGCGCAGGGTATGGAAGGGATGGGTATTGGCGCTTGGGCGGAGGGAGGCCGGTCACCGAGACTCCATACGCTCACGCACACATACGGGAACGGGAACGCGAACGCGAACTTGCTCGCGCACACTCGAACTGCGGCGCTTGATCGGTCACATCCGTCGCCCACCATGTCGTCGTCGTCGTCGTCGTCGTCGTCGGGGTCGGGGTCGGGGTACCGGTCTGGATCTGGGTCTGGGTCCACGTCCGCATCCGCCTCGGTAGATCCGGCCGCTACTTGGCACTTTGATGGCGCTGCGGCGGGTGGGTCTACCGTCGGGTCAGACTCGACCGGAGTCTTGTACCCTCACCTTGGTGTCCCGTCCCATCTGGATTTGGACCACTTTACCCTGTCACTCGGCATAGACACGGACCCGCTCGTCACGCCAGCGGTGGCCCTGTCGATCGTCGGACCAGATGGGGAGCTCGAACACGGTGGCGAGCTGAAGGGGTTGGGGGGGAATGGGAGTGCACGCAATGGGCAGAACGATTCAGGAGGAGGTGCTGGTGCTGGTGGTCGCAAGTCGCGGTCGTCTAGATCGCGATCGTCAAGGGCGTCGGCGGCGTCCTCGGTCACCGCTTCACCCAGGCATGCGAGAGCGAACGCGAGATCCCACAGTGCGAGGTCTGTGTCGCCGTCGGCGGGGTCGGACCACCTGTATGAGGAGTCGGCAGAGAGGGCGGCGGGTGATGCGGGGATGGGGCACCGCCACGGGCACGGACACACGCATCTCGGCCCCGCCACACATACCACAGCCGTGGAATCTGGGTCGCCGCCACGTCTCCATGTCAACCCCTCCCTCTCATTCGAAACCCTCCGGTGCCCAGTGCCCACTTGCACCTTCTCCACCACCTGCTATTCCCGCCCGGTTCGTATTGGCCGATCAAACGCTTTCGTCTACTGCTCTACCGACTTGCCCTCACCGCTCTCCCTCTCGACCGGTCCCGTGGCCATCGCGGAGGGGGATCCCGTGGCAGACGGGCACTGTGCCATGGGGGATCACTTGTTGTCCAACCACTGTAGGTTGGGAGGGAGGGGGAGGCCAGAGTGGACGTGTCCGTACCCAGGGTGTAGTTACGGTGATAGGAAGAAGAGTAATATGTTGGTGCACTTGTTAAAGGTGGAACATCACAAGGTGAAGCATTTTGTGTGCTCGGTGAGTTGAAAGGTCGGGGGTCTTGGAAAAGGTAGCATTGTTTGGGGAGGGGTGGAGGGTTATGATTGGCTCTGTTGCAAGTGACTCTAACTAATCGTCTGTCGCTTTTGTCGTGCACTACAGCTCTGCCCACCCACTGTGTCGCTCTACAGCAAACAAGACGCGAGGAACCACTTCAAGGTCAAACATGGATTCACTAGTCGGGCAGAAGCTGACAGCTGATCCTGGGTGGCTAAGATTGCCAAGAGTGTCACAATTTGAGACAGATCGAGAGCGAATTTGGTGGTATGACTTTGATTGGATTTTGGACTGGTTACTTTGAGGGTCAGGGCAGGGGGGGATCGTTCTCTCGTTTCTTGGTAGAGTTTCATTGGTTTATGTCGAGTTTGGTTTTGGGTCAGCGGGGAATGGGATGTTGGTGGCAGCTTGGGATTGATGTGATTTGGAATTGAGGAGTTGATGATCTGGGGATTTCGGAATTTGAAATTTGATATATGGAGATTTGTCGTGACGACGTTCATAAGTCGCTGTAGAAGTATTCGGCATTTGAGTTAATGTGCACGTGGGACTTGGAAAT